GCTTGCCTGAGTAAATTGGATGGATACAAGGACGTATGTAAAAATACATACTAATTTGAAGTAGTCTCCTTTCCTCCCTCAGCTCATTTAAATAAGATCAATTTTGACATACTGAGACTCACATGTTTTTATCGAGTGCTCCCCCCTCGCTATTCTCTGCTCACGAATCATCACCCTAAAAACACTTCCAAGAAACATAACATTTCCTATGATATTCCARTAATATTTTTAAAAAGATTTCCTAACTATGAATGCCTAACTATGTTTTGACATCTATTGTAGATACATCTTCATTTTTAACACTGCTTACTATTCTGGCCGCCAATTCTCATTCTTAAAACACTTCCAAGAAACACAACCTTTCCTATGATATTCCAATAATATTTTTAAAAAGATTKCTCAACGTTGTCTTCTAAATCCAAGAGTTTTCTTTGCTTATCATTGAACATAAAGAGTTTAATTTCCACACGATGTAAAACTTACAAGAGATAAAGCACCTTTGTCATGTCATATAAACAATCTGTTCATCGAGCGGACTGGTTTATATTTCCCTAGCTATATTAGTTTTCGAATTCTTATGCTACAAAAATATCGCATTTTATTGGATTTATTATCGCATAGGGTATCTTTCAGTTTGTTAATTAACCTTCTACAACTTCGGTGAAGGTTAGAATAATGCCTATAACTGAGCAAATTAACAGATTAGCTTAGGAACGCACTTTTAATCTGGTAAGATAAAGACTATTGTACGAAACAAGTACAAAATACGTCTTTAACATTCAGAATTTAACCGCTTTTCTTTCTTCTTACTGGAGCGCCCTATAAGATCTCGACTACAAAATTTCCTATTTTTTACAACGGCTAAATCAGCAGTTAACCTAAAAGTATAAAAACAAGCCTAAAATCGCTACCATGCAAATCACAAAAAATAGTTCATCCCACAAGCAGTATTAAAACAAAAAGAATTTTTTTCTTGAAAAATAATGACCTCGACATTCAATGAAAAGGTCTTTCTTCCGACTACCGGACGACATTGATGGCAAAATATCCTTCAAATTCGTATTTTAGCTCCATTATATTTCCCTATCAAAGACCAAACTCATTAATTTGTWTCCGTAAACAATTTTGATAATGTTAAACTATAAAAGTAAGGCAGTTCGTTTGTTGAAAATATTTCTTCGAGTTTATGAGCGATTGTGTTCGCTATCRAAATGAATGACTGAATGAAAATATATTGTAGTAAAAAGGAAGCCACTCGCTCGACCCCCAATTCAACTCAGTTTAAACCTCATCGTATGACAATGCTTTCGTATAAGACAGTATTCTATATCAGGGGTTGAGAAATTCAAGCGGGAAAAAGTACGAAATCTGCAGCCAAATGGCAACAAAACATTTTTTTCTGGCTGAGTCTTATAGTTAGCAGCTGCATAAGTAGCTTGATATACCTGCGCAGATCAGCTCAATTAGATACATTATAACCGCAGTACAAATATATAGTCTATATATATTCTCATATAGAGAAAGAAATAGCGGAAAAAGAAGGAGTTCCACTGGCATGGCTTACCTGATGTAAACAGAGCACAAGCTAGAATAATCTCGATAAAAATTCTYTGCATCTTCGCCATGGTTTGGATAATATTATTTTGTTTAGTCTTGGTATAAAACAAATGATTTTAAAGGTTCTGTGTCGGAAATATTCGTAACAGATAATGCCGGCAAAGCCAATTAAATAGGTTCATTGAGTAGAACTGATGGCGACGTCATGACAAAAAAGTAAATTCTGGGGTAACCCCACGGCAAGCTAATAACATTCTCTGTAGCCACTCCTAGGCCTGATTGCACAAGGGTGAAACATACCATATCTACTCGAATAAGGGGAGGGAGGCGCTTATTGAACGGGAGGAAACGCGTACACAACTGTCAAAGTATGCTTTACTTTTAATATCAATGTTATACTACTACAACAGTACTGGTATTAGTATGCTATAAAGAGAAGAAGCACTTATGTTAATTTTCTATATATYAAACGTGGTGTACATGTGCTCTATCAACTTTTATTCATTAAAATGTGCGCGATGTAGTCAGATTGTAGCATTTTTTTTCAATGTCACTGTCCCCTTCTTGGTCTGAGTCTATCAGCAGTGTTGTCTTAGAGTTGATTTGTCATGTTTTTTAGTTATGCACAATTTCTCGAATAAGCCTTCCCTTAAGGTGCGAGGCGCTTATTGGGGGGGAGGCGCTTATTATTATTTTTGCTCAAAGGGGGCACTTAGTCGTGGGAGGCGCTTATTCAGTGGAGGCGCTTATTCGGTGGAGGCGCTTATT